GATAAAGAATTCACAGAAATCTTTTGTTAAATCAGGCATCCAAGTTTTTTAAGAGCAATAACACACTTGTCATGCTTTTCATGGTAAGTTTACTATTGTCCAGGCCTTCTGGTCGGCAAAGTTGTTTGGTGCACTTTAAAATGGACTTTGCTTTGCGGCTATTGAGGAATAAATTTGAATGAAAGTTTTTTTTTTTTCTCCGAGTTCAGCAGCACTACTTCCTCCAGTGAACTCTGAGAGATAAGGACCCCCATGAATCCTTTTCTTTAGTGAAGGTCACAAAATGAAAACTGAATTGGTTGCTATGGACAACACTTCACCTGCCCTTACCCTGCCTTTTTGTAGCAATCTGCTTGCACAGTATAGATTTTTTCCTGATAAGTCTGAAGTCTTGTTAGATCCAGTTCCCATTCCTGTAGCTGAAAACAATGTGATGATTTCCCAGCTGGAAGGAAAATTGGACCCCATGGGGTTGTAGACCTTAAAGGTGCTTTGCAGCAATTGTACATATTGCTAAAATGGAACTGTCAGTGTTTCCCACAGCTACCTATTAGTCAGGCTTTCAGCTTCATGCTCTCAATGAGAATCTGGTATTGACAGATGCAAGAGTGAGGCTGAGATGTCATCGGTCTGCTGCAGACAAGAGGAAGCATTTCCTCAGTCTCCTCTCCCCAGTGATCAGACTGTACGTTGTAACTTTTTAGCAAGTCACAATGTGAGAGGTTGCAGAAAGGGCTGATCTATGTCATATATTTGTCAGCACAGCCAGGAACTTCACAGGCACCACAATTTACATGATTGTGTCATCTCTGAGCTAGCATCTCAGTCCAGGAAATAGGTGGTGACCCTGGCTGATGGCTGAGCAAAGATGGCTCTGTACTTCTGAGGGGTATCTTTTTACCTCTCTGTGAGTGTTAATAAACACCTGGAGGTGTTACACTAACACGTTATTTTTGTGTATTTATAAGCAGAAGTAAAGATAGGGGTGGAAAAAAAAGCCCCCTGGACCGTTTAGGGCTTGTTCCAGGGGCGTCCCGAGGCCGGAGATCACCTGGTCTCCAGACCGGGTGACACCCCGCCGTGTTTTCATCGCGTATGCGCGTGACATAACTTCGCGGGTGCGGCATGCGCGGCCATCTTGGTGATTGACGCCTGCCGGCGGCCATCCTGCTGATGGACGGCGGCAGAGACAGGAGGGGACATTCATGAGGTATCCCCCCGGGTCCCCTCCTCTCTCCTGACACTGTCTGGCTCTCGGTCCATGACCGAGTGCCTGACTTTTTGGAGGGGATGACACCAAAATGACTGTCAGTCATTTTGGTGTCACCTGGGTGCGGGCCGCACCCCACTTGTGACGCCACTGGCTTGTTCACACCAAATCCTTTAAAATGGACTTTGCTTTGCGGCTATTGAGGAATAAATTTGAATGAAAGTTTTTTTTTTTTCTCCGAGTTCAGCAGCACTACTTCCTCCAGTGAACTCTGAGAGATAAGGACCCCCATGAATCCTTTTCTTTAGTGAAGGTCACAAAATGAAAACTGAATTGGTTGCTATGGACAACACTTCACCTGCCCTTACCCTGCCTTTTTGTAGCAATCTGCTTGCACAGTATAGATTTTTTCCTGATAAGTCTGAAGTCTTGTTAGATCCAGTTCCCATTCCTGTAGCTGAAAACAATGTGATGATTTCCCAGCTGGAAGGAAAATTGGACCCCATGGGGTTGTAGACCTTAAAGGTGCTTTGCAGCAATTGTACATATTGCTAAAATGGAACTGTCAGTGTTTCCCACAGCTACCTATTAGTCAGGCTTTCAGCTTCATGCTCTCAATGAGAATCTGGTATTGACAGATGCAAGAGTGAGGCTGAGATGTCATCGGTCTGCTGCAGACAAGAGGAAGCATTTCCTCAGTCTCCTCTCCCCAGTGATCAGACTGTACGTTGTAACTTTTTAGCAAGTCACAATGTGAGAGGTTGCAGAAAGGGCTGATCTATGTCATATATTTGTCAGCACAGCCAGGAACTTCACAGGCACCACAATTTACATGATTGTGTCATCTCTGAGCTAGCATCTCAGTCCAGGAAATAGGTGGTGACCCTGGCTGATGGCTGAGCAAAGATGGCTCTGTACTTCTGAGGGGTATCTTTTTACCTCTCTGTGAGTGTTAATAAACACCTGGAGGTGTTACACTAACACGTTATTTTTGTGTATTTATAAGCAGAAGTAAAGATAGGGGTGGAAAAAAAAGCCCCCTGGACCGTTTAGGGCTTGTTCCAGGGGCGTCCCGAGGCCGGAGATCACCTGGTCTCCAGACCGGGTGACACCCCGCCGTGTTTTCATCGCGTATGCGCGTGACATAACTTCGCGGGTGCGGCATGCGCGGCCATCTTGGTGATTGACGCCTGCCGGCGGCCATCCTGCTGATGGACGGCGGCAGAGACAGGAGGGGACATTCATGAGGTATCCCCCCGGGTCCCCTCCTCTCTCCTGACACTGTCTGGCTCTCGGTCCATGACCGAGTGCCTGACTTTTTGGAGGGGATGACACCAAAATGACTGTCAGTCATTTTGGTGTCACCTGGGTGCGGGCCGCACCCCACTTGTGACGCCACTGGCTTGTTCACACCAAATCCGGACCAGATCTGCATGAGTTTCTGTACATGCAGTGCAGTGTATTTTGACGCGTTCTGGGGCTTTTTTTTTTTTAATGCCTAAAATGGGCTTTCACTGCGTTCCATGGCGTTTGCATGCTTCTGTTTTTCCCCATGCTCTGGAACTGAATGCTGTGGTGTGAACTAAAGTCCAAAATACCATTGGATTACATTGGATGCAGTTTTGATGCGTTCTGTAACTGCTCTGCATCTGCTCTGCATTTGGTGTGAACTGGCCTTTAGCCATAATGTGCTCGTATGCACAACATATTAGCACATTATGGCAGATGTACTTGCCAAAGGGCTCCTCTCCACCGCTGCGCTTCTCCCTCACCATCTTTACATCTTCTCCCTGGTTTTCTTATAGCAAGAAGCTTTTATGGTAGAAGAGACTTGAGCAGTCTGTTCTGTCATAGAAAGCCTGCTGATAGACATTTATTTTTTTTACTTCCTCATTAACATGAATCAAAACATGTATCGTGCTGCATTGTTTGCAGGTGAAAGATGAAAACCGCAGTGCAATACACCTGAGGGCATTGCAGGGGTTGCCTGTAACTTCACCTGATCTCTGTGCTCTCCTGTAATATAATAACATAGTCTTCTTAATGCATGACCCGGCCAGGTGCTGCTGCATTAGTTTAATATTATTTAAGACGGGAGGCTAATTGGTGGCTGTTGTCAGCACAGACAGTTCTTATTTAGAACATATTGATAAATGAAGTCTTATCATTCCCATCCTGTTGTTTTGTTCACCATCAAGAAGTGAACTCTATAACATGTTCTGGGATATTGTATTTCCTCCAGGTGGTGTCTTCTGTGGACCTCTCCTGTCAGAAAATTAGACCTTTATTTAACATTGACATATAAACGGAGTGTCCTCCTCACCTTTACAAGCCTAGTGTAGTGCCTGTTCTCAGTCTTGATGACAGACCTGAGGTCTGGCTGTGTCTTATTTCTGAGCATCATTTCACCCTGTAGGAATGGGGAGCGGAAGTGCCGGCAGAGAAGGTGGAGCTTTTAAAGCATTACTCCGACAACAGACACAGACCACTCTGGAGCAACGGGTGAGTCTGTACCAGACGCTGGTGCAGTGTATGAACTTCGTGTCATTGCATTCACAAAGGGATTAGGTCTGTGACCGCAGTGAAATTTTGTCTGATATGTGATATGTGCTGAACAGGTTAATCCCTCTTAAGAGAAGGAAAATGAGAGGCTTGAAATGACTAGAATTGAATCAGCTGTATTTGCCTCTCTGCATAGAAGGAAAACAGAAAGACTTATTCATTCTCTATGGGTCAGAAGCCAGAGGGTAATAATGAAAGCTTTAATATGCAGTAGCTAAAAATGAACTCCGTGAAGTTGTTAAAGAAGAACTCTGGCAAATCAAAAAACATACCCTTTCTGTGGTGCTACCCCTGCGCTGGAAGTGTAAAGTGCTTGTTTTGGTCTCGTGGAAGGAATAAAGCAGATTTAATTACCTGATCCCGGCTTCCTCCAGGTCGCTGGACTGGTCCCTCCAGCCTCCTCTGCCCAGTGCTCCGTCAATTTAAGGACCGCTGATGTCATCACGTCATACGCAGGTCTGCATTAAACGTGAGGGTGCTGAGGGACATTCTATAGCTAGAGCAGAGGGAGAGCAGGGATCAGGTAAGTAAAACCGCTTTATTTGCGTCCCCTAGACAAAGCCGGGGGTCTCTGTGTTTGCCTGATGAAGGGACCATGCTCTGTTCTGAAACGTTGCTTTTTTGCACTGTCATTATGATTGCTAGAGTCTAAATAAAAGGCGTTCAGCATGTTTGACCTTGGAGTGCAGGTGACTATCTCAATACTTCCCTAGACAAAACGAGCACTTAACCCTTGCAGTGGGGCTGTTTTCCCGGAGTTCTTTAAAGACACACATTACAGCAACTAAATACTCACTACTCAATCATTACATGCATAGTTTTCAAATGTATGTGTAGCCAAAACTTCTTTCCCATCCTTTCAGGGACACAGGAAGTCATCAGCTGTCGGATTATAATGCTGCCTACAGGAGGATTGAACACTAGCAGACAAACAAATCTTTAGCCAGCCCAGCATAACCACTTATAGCCGGCATACCTTTTTTTTTTTTTGCTAGCAGTTGTTTCCTGTTGCCCACCCCTTAGTTGGACTGCTTTTGGATGTCCTGACAGTGTAGTACTTACTGTGCCCCTCAACGTCCAAGAAAGGAAATGGGATTTGTGTGCACCCTGTAGAATCGTTTCCATTGAAGGACACAGGTCCCAACCCTGTGCTTTTGTGACTGTTAGAAAAAACTGAGGCATGTCGGTTGTAGGAGGGGTTATCGTGGACTGACTTACAATTTTTTGTTTGCCAGTGGCCAGTCCTCCTGTAGGCTAAAAAATAACCAGATCATTAATGATTTCCTGTGTACCTCAATGGACTCCAAGGAAAAGGTTTTATGGTATATGCACAATTCCTATTTTCTTAGTTTCGTATGCAGTAGGGAAGGGTTAATACCCCTGTCAGTTTACTTTTTACTGGCTGTATCCTGTAGGAAATGCAACAGGAAGTCGTAGGAAATCTCCCAAGCAAATCTGCTATTAGGCAGTTGTCACTGGATTGGATGTACCGATTGGAGCATTTCCCCTCACCTCTTGTTCTAGTGACACTTCTAAAATTTCAGATTCTCCATCTCTTACTGTTTCAGCGACAATGATAACCAAGACACACCTACCTAGTTGTGAAACAGACAACGATAAAAACCTCACAGGGGTTCCAATCCCCCTACTGCTTTGTTTGGGCTGTACATACACATTAATAAATCAAGTTTCAATACCTGAATTACACTTGATTTCAGCATTTTGCAATCCACTGTACGGCAGCACTCAGGCGGGAGGGCATGGGAGGGGGCGGGAGGTCATGGGA